CACACACACATACGCACACACACACACACACTCATGTACTTACACACACTCATGTACTTACACACAAACACACCCACACACACCATCACCACCACCATCACTCCCCCTACCCCCTACCCCACCCCAACCCCTACACACATACACCCCTCTCCCACACGCACATTTTCCATAACAACATCCCTCTCCGTCTGAAAAAGCCCTCTGAAAGAAACGTGAGGCATTATTTATTAAAACAAAAAGCAGTCTTTACTTTGGAAGAAGGCCCCAGTAACACGACATGCTCAGGCCGTGTTTGTCACCGGCTGAGGACCGATTCGATCCACCAGGGAGCCCCGTTTGTCAAAGAGATCTCCGAGGCCTAGAGAGGCTCCACATTTAGCCCTTCGCTGCGCATGCGCCGTTGCCACAGCTTTCTTCCGGCCAAATGGGGCCGGGGTGGGACAACAAAGGCTCCGGTCATCAGCTGCCCATTATGGGGCATCAAGGACGAGGGCTTTTGGCGACTTTTGTTTCGTTTTAGTTTTTCACTCAGCCTTAGTTTGTTTTTTGTTTTTTGACTTTTTTTGTTTGTGATATTTTTGTCCAGCGACGCCCAGAATGGTATAAGCGGCGGATAGAAGTAAAGATATTTTTGTCTCGTCTGCTTTAAAAAAAAGCACCGGCAGTTTTTTGTGTTTTTTGTGTTTTTTGTGTGTGGGTATTTTAATCTTTTTGGTACCCATCTGGGCGGTGCCACTGACTGAAGTGTCTTTAGGCCATTCCCGAAGGGGGGGACATTTCTCTTTCTAACGCACAGTAGAATTGTTAATGGGCCGATCAAACAATTTCATGCTCATAACTGTGCCTGAACTACAACAGGAAACTGCGGCTTTTCTTTCCTAATCCTTACTATTCGTCATTTTCCTCTTCTTCTATTGTATGTTTGTCACACTCTTGTGACCCGTTATTTCCGGGGTGCCTTGATAGTCGAAGCAGACTTTGTGCTGTTGAAGCAAGAGAGGTGAACAGAGTAAGTCTGATTCCCTGTAAGGACTTCTCTGTTGACATCCACCCCTTAGCCCTCATAAGACCTTATGCTGTTGCGAGCGCCGTAAAACCTCTATTGAAACGAAAACAAACAAATCTTTTAAATCTTTTCGGCGTGCCGGGATAGCAGCGGGGG